AAAAACCAAAGATATATATTCCTCACTATAGTGTATAAACAGGTAGAAGCTAATATTTCTGATCATAAGAATCACTGCTAATATTTACATTTTTCCTCAACTCAAATATCATTTCATGTCATGTAGGATTTAGACTAGGAATATGGTTAGATTCCTCAAACTTGTATTTTACTGTTATTATTCACTTTTCTTTCTCACACAATCTTTCTATTTCTCAGCAAATATTTCTCTCTTATGTTATACAGCTAGCTATTTGGTGATTAAGCAGAAGGATATATTTTACTCAATCCAATTCAAAATAAAAGTACTTTCACGATTTATTCACATTTGGTAATTTAAACATAAGGAGGATATAATATGGGCAGTTAAGTCTTTATATGCAACTTCTTACTTCCATTGAAGGGAATTTCAAATTAACTCAAGACGCATAGTTCTCAAGATGTAGGAAAAAAACCAATCTGAGAACCAGCCTTGTTTTGACCACATGATGTTGGATTTCAGCACATTAGAATAAATGTATTAGATGAAATCAATCAAATCCATTCATAGTGTAGCCACTGAAAATGAATATGATACATCTCAGTCTTGTATGCATCACATAAGTAATTAAATTTTTTGCTATTGCATCTACTACCTCTTCTCCGTTTCACTAGAAATTTCTTGTTAATTGAATAATAGATATGTATTAAGTTGGAGACATGTTAATTTGATCACTTCTTACTCCTATAATGACTTAGCCAGTATGTGTGTGCTTGATTGTTTTGGATACTGTATTGCATCTGTAAACATACAATTAACCTAACCTTACTGTCATCAACAGTTTTATCGGCTGCGGGAGGTATCAAAGTAAACCACCCCCGTGTGAGCAATGGTATTTTGCTGATTCTGAATCTAAAAATATTTCTTAAACTGCTCCGTATTCCTGTTTCCGTCCACTTTATTTTTTCTACCAAGGTCTGAAAAATGTCTTTTTTCTGTGGTGCAGATGTAGTTGTGCTTGTTGCTGTTGTAATACTAGTAGGACTATTCAGCTTGCAACGCTATGGTACTGATAGAGTTAGTTGGCTGTTTGCTCCAGTTGTGCTACTTTGGTTCCTATTAATTGGAGGTATAGGCTTGTTCAACATCTGGAAATATGATAAAAGCATTCTAAGAGCCTTTTCACCTGTGTATATTTATCGCTATTTTAGAAGGCGGGGGATGGATGGTTGGACGTCCCTCGGAGGTGTTCTGCTGAGTATAACAGGTAATTTAAAAAAAAAAAAGTTTTTTCAAAGCTAATACCAAATAAAATGCACTTAGATATTCAAGATTTGTTTATTTTCATTTCTAATGATTTGTTGTAAATTCAGGCACAGAGGCTCTGTTTGCCGATCTGGCTCATTTTCGTGTAGCAGCTATTCAGATTGCTTTTACAGTAGTTGTTTTTCCTTGCCTTCTCTTGGCATATTCTGGACAAGCTGCCTACCTTATGAACAATAAAGACCATGTGGTTGACGCCTTCTATCGTTCAATCCCAGGTCTTCTTTCTTTCTCTTTGGTATCTAATGACAGATTTGCTTAAATGATACCTTTAACGTTGCTTGAGAACTTCCATAATTCTATTTGATAAGAAACTTCCATAATTTCTTTTAAAAAATTTTAATGAGAAACAACTTCTATTGCAATCAAAAGATAATTATTAGAGAAAAGGGGACTATATTTCTAATTCACCTAGAAAATAAAAGAACTCTCTAATTCATCAAACAGAAAAGGGCACGTTGTGAAGCTCAAACACTTCTCTGAGGCTAAGTATTAGTGAACAAAATGGAACAAGTATTAGCCATTCCCCTCCCCAAAAAGGAAATGTACTCTGTATTTTTGTTAAGAATTAGTTTGAATAAATAAATTTACTTCAACCTAACAATTAACATTTTGAAATTAGTGGTGATTATCATGACATCATATTTTTAGTTGAATTCTCATTTCCTGCCTTGTTTATTTCTCTCATTTCAATGTTAGTATCCATTTTAGTTTGATTTATCAAAGTTTGAGCCCACATGTGAAAGAAAAACTTGAGAATCAAAATCAATGAGTAACTTTTTCCTTTTTAGTACAAGTGGGGTAGGGGGATTCAAACTCACAACCTCATGGTTGAAGATAGGTGCCAATACTACTAAGCTAAGTTCATGCTGGCAAATTAATGAGTAATTTAACTTTCACTAAATATTTTAAGGTATAAACTAACCTTCATCAAGGTTAGAGGTTCGAATCTCCACCCCAACCATTGTTGATGATTTCAAAAAAAATATATTTTAAGTATTTATTATAACGGCTATATTGCAATACCTATGATAGAGATTAAGAAGTTAATGTATCAAACTTATAGTTGGGACAAACAAAACCCAAGTGCTTATTGGAAAAATTTATGAAGTTTTTCATGCACCATATTGTTATTCCAACTTTAGGTTACCCTAATTTGTCAATTATAACGTTAGTTTTGGTGTGACATAATTATTAAATTTCAGTTTTATTCTATTATGTATGTTATAACATAGGAGATTGTTACAATGTATTAGAAAATGTATTAATACTTTTAAGAGAAAAAATGAACGAATATGCCCTTACCATGCCTATTTACTGGTCTTTTTGAGAATGGAGGGTTGTTGTTGTATCCGTGTTTCATGTTTGCTTCCATGATTCTCAGTGGCCAGTTACAAAGTTCCTCTATGATTGGAGATAAGGATGTAAAAATAAATTCTCCTGAAACTCTCAATGTTACGCACTCCCAGAAAAAATTCCTTGATTTCTTTACCTTCAAATCTCTCTTAAACTCGACATAACCAACTTCTTTCTTTCTTTTTTCAAATCTCTCTAGGCTAGCGATGTGCACTCCGACTAACCCTATGGGATAATTGTCTGGTCCCACAATTTTTTTGTTTTAGGAAACTCATAAATATTCAATATTTTATATAGGTGGCCATGACAGTTGACATCAATATACTTGATGTAATCCTATCATCCATAGTACTAAGAGACAGTTGACATCACTATACTTGATTTAATCCTATCAATCCGTACTACTAGGAAATTATGAACAGTCCTGTGTTTTTTTCACAGTTTGTAAAAAGTGATGTTTGTGAAATAGACTAGTGCACCATTAATCATGTGATGTTTGTGCTGACCGAGCATCTCATTGAGGCTACTAAGAATTACCCTTTTTGGGCTGCTTAGATTTGTTAAATTGGTGAAGTCTACATGTTTTTTCTGTATGGAAACTGGAAAACCAATGATATCTCTGTCATTGTTCTCTTCTCTCGTTGTAGCATCGGAGTTTCAATAGCATGATGCTGGAAGTGCATTGCAAATACTTAAAAATGATGTGCTGACATCTCTCTTTGCAGAGTCCATATATTGGCCAGTGTTCTTTGTTGCAACTGCTGCTGCTATAGTTGCTAGTCAGGCAACTATATCTGCAACATTTTCAATAATCAAGCAGGCTCTTGCTCATGGCTGCTTTCCCAGAGTTAAAGTTGTCCATACGTCAAAGAACTTTCTCGGCCAGATATACGTTCCTGATATTAACTGGATCCTCATGCTTCTTTGCATTTCTGTGACAGCAGGATTTAAGAATCAAAGCCAAATTGGAAACGCATATGGTAAGTGGCACTCTGTTGTTAGCGGTTTTATAATGAAATTGTTGCATTGACTGGGTGACATAACACCATTCAATTTAGATGACAGTATAATGCATGCAAATTGAGGATTATATCTCTATCTCACTCTTGATATTGGAACACAAGATCCAATATTTGAACTGTTGAACATTTTGCCACAATTCAGTCGCAGCAAGATAAATCTTTGAAATTAGTAGCGTAATGAGGTAGAATTGAATTAAATTCATTGTTATCTGCTGCTCAAGAATATTGGGACATAAAGTGATGGCTGATTGAGTAGGTGGTGTCTGTTTGGATTTCCAGAAAAAGTCGGCATAATAAACATTGTATGAGATAGCTATTGAAGTTTGCAGGAGAGCTGAAGCATTCGAATTAGATCTGTTTTTTTCATTTAGGATATAGTCTACATAGCGATATAAATAACCGAAGATAGAATGTTATTCATGCATTTAACTTTCTTGTTGGTGCATAGAACTCCATTTAAAGCTCTCCATATTTCTCTTTCAACAGGGACAGCAGTGGTGGTAGTCATGCTTGTGACCACATTGCTTATGATTCTAATCATGATCTTGGTGTGGCGCTGTCATTGGGTCATCGCCATGATTTTCACCGGATTGTCGCTAATCGTGGAGTGCAGTTACTTTTCTGCTGTTCTCTTCAAGGTTGATCAAGGTGGCTGGGTCCCCCTTGTGATTGCTGCAGCCTTTCTCATCATCATGTATGTGTGGCATTACGGTACTGTTAAACGATATGAATTCGAGCTGCACAGTAAAGTTTCAATGGCATGGATTCTCGGGCTTGGTCCCAGTCTTGGACTAGTCCGCGTTCCTGGAATTGGACTCGTGTACACCGAGCTAGCAAGCGGCGTACCTCACATATTTTCCCACTTCATTACAAATCTGCCTGCCATTCATTCTGTTGTTGTGTTTGTCTGTGTGAAATACCTTCCAGTCTACACAGTGCCAGAGGAAGAAAGGTTCCTGGTAAAGCGGATCGGACCCAAGAATTTCCACATGTTCCGTTGCGTCGCGAGATACGGTTATAAAGACCTCCACAAAAAGGACGATGATTTTGAGAAAAAGCTTTTTGATAGCATCTTCCTCTTTGTGAGGCTTGAATCCATGATGGAAGGATGTTCAGACTCTGATGAGTACAGTTTGTATGGTCAGCAAACTGAGCATTCAAGGGATGGCCTGTTGATTGGCAACCATGGAAATGGAAATGCAGCTTCATCCAATGTGGACACAACGTTCTCATCAGTTGACTCGATCGTGCCCGTTAGATCTCCCGTGCGTTCAAATAACACGGTAAGATCATCTGGGCAGGCAAGCAACCACACCGATAGCGACGAGATAGAATTCTTGATTAGGTGTAGAGATGCTGGGGTGGTGCACATACTGGGGAACACTGTAATTAGAGCAAGAAGGGAATCAAAATTTTACAAGAAGATAGCTGTTGATTACGTTTATGCCTTTCTTAGGAAGATTTGCAGGGAGAACAGTGTGATTTTCAATGTTCCTCATGAGAGTCTATTAAATGTTGGCCAAATTTTCTATGTATAGTTTCATTTTATTTAGTGATGGAATCAAATCTGTTATATATACTTTGGAAAGCTTTAATGCAGCATCATTTTTTTGCATGACTCACTTATATTTTACTGTGGAAGCCCCAGCATTCTCTGCATCATTGAACATTTTATTTGGTGTTTTTCTAGGAGTTGAAAAATCGAATCTTCTTTTTGGACAAAAAATAAAAAGGAGAAGAAAAATTAATTTCTCAAGAGTATATTAAATAATATTAAAAGTTACAAGCTAAAGATTGAAGTTAATTTATAAGGTATGTCAAAGGGTTAATACAAACGTCAAATATATATATATATATATTTCTTTTCTTTTTCTT